AGCTGCACACCTAGGATGTGCAGTATTAGCTGAGTTTCATGTTGATGAGATGCTTGCCTGGAGATCAGTGATGAGTTCACCCCTCCATCTGCAGACACAACGCACCGCTGTGCAAGTCCTTGGGACTATTGAGAAATGCATGGCCTCTGTCATCTGGTAACTTGTAGGACCAGATAGCTACAGGGCGGTTAGCAATCTTTTGGCTATTGCAATGGAAACATGACCAGTTATTAAAAGGTGTTGTTCCTGCATCTTAGAAGACTGGTATGCCTTTGGCAAAATTGTTAGCATTTTGCATACACGGAGTTCCTCAAAAGCTGGTTTTTTTCAAAGCAATTTGGAAAGTTACCCTCCAAAAAGGAGAGACTTAAATTAATGGACAAGGGTCTTCTTCCTTCAAAGTTTTGATCTTTAGGTTACTGCAGAAAGGACTGTGCCTGCTCTGATTAGCACAGCTCTCTAGGTCTCCTCTGGACTGGATGGCATGGCTTCAATTGAGCTTTTAAGCAGACGAACTGAAAGAGATCTTGATTTCACCCCTACTCTCTGCTAACCTGGAAGGAGCGCTTTGCACACAAGACTCCCCTATGGTTCCTAGTCCCTGCAGAGATGTTTTCAACAGAGCAAAGACTGCTGTGGCTGGTGCTACTGCAGCAGCGTGTCAGAAGGTTGCACAGTTTGATGGAAAATGATTTCCAGCAACATCTTCCCAGTTATTAACTGTAACTGCTGCCGCTGGCCCTCTGTACACTTCAGCAGACCACCACCATGTGGGTTTGCAGTTTAGCCTGTAAACACACCACGGTGCACAGTCAGGAGCAGAAGGAACAGTGCTGGGACAGAGGGATGTCCAGTAGCTGTGCAGTATGGCATTTTTACCCTGACTGAAGTCATGAACTGTCTCTGCAGCGTGGCTGGCAATCTTCACATTCATGACATTATAACACAACTCTCAGAGAGGAAATGTTCATCCAGGAGTTGCAGGTAGTCCCAGGCCAGCTTCCTATCACTGGTTTCTAAGTGGCACTCTTGTGATGATGGGGATCTGGGCATAGCTGATTTCCCTTGCCTATGCTTATGTTTCTGCACCTGGGCTCCCAGGCTTCCTTCCCAAAATACCTGGGGAACCGATATGTCCACACAACAGTTATGACTCAGTGCAAGCCAAAAGTCAATGTACTGAAGGTGAAAGTATTGCTGCCTCCTTCAAGAACTTCAACAAATTCTCAGTTAAGGTTTTCCTATGTACAGTAGTGAAATAAACTTGTAGGGTGAACTTACCTTCTTAGTAAAAATGGTATCTGGGATTTGTGTGTGTGTACGTGCACTAAGAGTATTCATGAGGAGAGGTAGCACAGTGTATCACATGCTGGCTGACTGCATGGTAACTTCCCCAAAGAGACAGGACCTCATACCATCTGGGAAAGCATCAGTTTGCCTTGGTGCATCTCAGGGCACATTACAGAGCAGCAGACATGTGATTTATGGTGCAAGACCTTCTGTAATTTTGACCTTACCTCCTGTTATGCCAGCTGAACATCTCACCCTTTTAGAAAAGAAGTCCTCGTCCATAGTTCATTGAGAACTTAATTGCAGCCTTTCAATGCTCAGTTGGTATCAGGTACAACTGCAGAAACAAAGCTAACATAAATAGCACTAAGAAGTCCCATTGCACAGACAATATCAGCAAAAAGCTGTTAAGTAGAAACTTTTCAAATCCCTCACAACTCAAAAAAACCTCACAAAAAAACCCCCAAAAACTAACTATGAGTTAGTCCAGCCATATGAAGTTCATCTAACTCTCATGACATATTCACATGTGAAACGGTTAGGTAGTGAAAAGTTTCATGATGGAAAGATACAAACACATAGTCTTACTCAGTGCATGTGTTTTCATTTTCCTTTACAAATAAGGAAATGGGTCATTTTCCTTAGAAAAGGCTTGTCTTGAGACTGTTGTTTGACAATTGCAAACACAAACGGTTGAACAGAAAGCACAAGGATATCTAGCTTAATTTTCAAACCTACACAGACTACTAACTATTCTAATTTATGCAAGTGTGCAATGTTGATTGTTGCAGTGTATATCACACTCTTTTTTCCTCCTTTCAGATGTTTCCATGATGTCTGTATGGTCAGTCTGCCACAACTTAAAGTAAAACAAGAATTTTCAGAAATTTCAGCCACAAAGACCACTAGAAATTTGATAACACAGCTTTGCAAAGAGAGTAAATATTAAAACGATGAGCAAGTAATTCCTAAAAATTGTAATGCATCCAGTGTGCATTTGCTGCAGTCCT